CACTGAGCCCGGCAATATTTGACCTCACATACAAAATATTTGTTCGTCCTCACACTGAATTTTGCCCCAAGTGTGGTCCCCTTATAAGAAATATAAAACCAGTAAAACGCCTTTTGGGCAAAGAACGAGCGAGCGAGATATTGAGCCCTGCACGTGCAGAGGGGCGAGAGGGTTCTTCCAACGGACTTGTGCAAAGCACCCTTCTAACCGGTCGCTAGCGGTGTGCCAACTTTGAAAGCAATCGGCCCAGCCGTTCCTAAGATCTGGAAGCGGCATTCTGCACGTGCGCACGTGCAAACGGGGTCCAAGCTGACTTTTGCACGGCACCATACTAACCGGTCCCCAACCGTGTACCAAATTTGAGCGCAATCGGCCCAGCCGTTCTCGAGATGTGGAAGCGCCCCCCTGCACGTGCGCACGTGCAATAGCACCCTAACCGCAACACATGGAAATGCATTGCCTGGTGGGTGCCTACCTGTATGCCAAGTTTCAGCAAAATCGCCCCAGTAATTACCGAGTTATTGAAATGGAAACAAATTTGGCGCCTCTTCTTTTTGCATTGTGCACGTGCAGTGGGGGTCACTCACATAGATCAAGAGTATCCAACCTTTGGTAGAAGGGATGCAGCTGCCAGCTACCCTACACTAAAATTACCGCAAGACAATACAATCGCCCAAGCGGCTGCTAAGATGCCTCTCAAAATCACTACTTTTGCAAAACAGCTTGAACACCCTTGACTTTTCACGTGGCACGTGCCACGACGGTCACTGAGATGTATCAAAAGTAGTCAATTACTGGGTAGCTCGCTCGTTCTTCGCCCAAAAGGCGTTTTCGTGGTAATAATCAATATATAATAATCAATAAGCTTACCATCCTAGAAGAGAGAAGAGAACGGGGGGCCTACTTGAGGTTCACAAAATTCTCCATCAGCTCCTCCATGAGTGTGTATTAGCCCCAACCAACACCGGACGATGAAAAGAGGAAGGTTTTTATCACAAAGAGTTCTAAATTAGATATGTCAATCGGATAGGTACCAGTGGCACCATCGTGTTCCTGAGCTCAAACTGCATCTGATAGGCACCTTTTTTGTTGAAAAAGTTCATTTTCAAAATTTGACCTTTTCTGACCTGAAAGTGACCTGACCTGTAAATTCAGCTTAAAATGACCTCAAATGACACAGACAACATTATTTTCGAAATCTACAGGTAAAATGGACCATAAAACATGCGTCACGTGACCGATACATGATATACAATTTCCGTGACCTAGGATGACCTGGCCTTGGAAAAATTCGAAGTAAAAGTTCGGTACCCTCAGGGTATCTAAGGCATATATCAAGGAGTGCGTAAACCAAAAATGAGCCTGATCGGATTCGGACTTGTCAGCCGGCGGTCAGAGCCTAAATTGTGAACAAGCAAAAATGCCGATAATTTTTACTTTGACCTGACCTGTGACGTCATCGGTGACCTCGAGGTCAATGAAAATAAGTTTCGTTCGACAGTTTTTCCAGGTCTATCAGACGCCGTTTGAATTTTGACGACCAGCCCAGTAGTTCCGGAGATAGGAGAGGGCTCTGGAGAGCCCCCCCCCAAGTCACTCACGTTATGGAAAATACCCCAGTCATGCGCGGGTTAAATTATGTTGCAGATGTATTTTGCCCATAACTCATACAGGTGCTTTAGATGTTGCAACGAATCTGTGCCTCACGATTGAATCTCTGGAAAAAATGGAGCTCAAAGACATTTGGTAGTTGAGGGTGAGACAAAATTCGCTGTCTGCGTCAAGGTTGCGGAGTCCATGCCTTTTCGACGCCTCCAATTCCGACCGCGACTCAGGTTAAAAAAAAAAACAACAACAACAACTTCGACTCAAACTCCGGGCTCCGACTGTCGACTCCGAGAGGTGGCAAAAGATGAAAATTTTGGGAACCAGACTCGAACCAGACCCGGCTGGACATTTCTGGAACCAGTCAGACCCGGTCTTAGTTGGAATCGGAACCAGTTGGACGGACCCGTTCCCCAAAAGTCAATTAATACAAACTAATTGTAGGTATCATTAGTTGCATCATGTAAAACAGCCTATTAGTCCCACTGGGAATACTCACGAGCTACTGTGTGCAAAGAAACATTCACTTCATTCACTTCATATTTTGCAATAGGTAATGTGTAGTGTGCAAGATGTTGGTTTATGGTAGGACCCGGTTGGACCCGTCAGAATTAGAAAATTTCCAGGAACCGGTCTGGACTCATATGGCCTATGGGTCCAGACTGGTTCTTTGGACCGGGTCCTCGGGTCCACATTTTGCCACCTCAAACTGTCTCTGATCGACTCCAACTCCGACTCAGACTCGGCAGACTTTGAATGGCTGCGAAGTTGATGGATTTTCGGTGGCTCCAACTCTGGCTCCGGCTTTACTTCCATAATTGACTCCGACTATAAGTTAAGCATAAGGTAAGGTAAGTATAAGGTAAGTAAGGTTATACGTAAGTATACCTATATGGTTAACCTGCGCCCCACTGGGGTCTGTGTATAACACGCCCTACTGGGGGGGGGGGGGGGCTATTCATAGCCCCCCCTCCTAACTCCGAAATTACTGGGCTGATCGTCAAAATTCAAACGGCGTCTGATAGCTCCGGAAAAACTGTCGAGCGAAACCTAATTTCATTGACCTCGAGGTCACCGATGACGTCACAGGTCAGGTCAAAGTAAAAATTATTAGCATTTTGGCTTGTTCACATTTTGGGCTCTGGCCACCGTCTTACAAGTCAGATCAAGCTCATTTTTGGTACACACACTCTTAAACAGATGCTCTAGATACTCTGAGGGTACCAAGCTTTTACTTTGATTTTCAGGTCAAGGTCAGGTCATCACACGTCACGAAAATATTTTATCATGCGTCGGTCAAGTGACACATGTTTTATGGTCCATTTAGGCCATAGATTTCGAATTTGATGTCGTCTGTGTCATTCGAGGTCATTTTGAGTCGAATTTAGCTTAGGTCAGGTCACTTTCAGGTCAAAAAAGGTCAAATTTTGAAGTTACAATTTTTCAACAAAAAAGGTGTCTATGGGATGCAGTTTGAGCTCAGGAACACGATGGTGCCATTTATATTGGTGTACGATGTCAAATACGTACTGAAAAATTGAATTGAAAAATTGATAATTGTGAATTTTTTGCAATAATGCGTATAACTTGGCCATTTTTGAAGATATTTAGCTAAAACTTGCTAGAGTTAGTCATAATGATGCGTTCTGTCACATATATTCCGGTTTTTTTTCGAAAAGTCAAAAGCTTTTTGAAAAAATATAAAATATAAGTTTGGAATATTATTATATCTAATTTTCGAAATTTTCAAAATTTTGAAAATTCGAGATAGCAGTTTGATAGCGCGGTCAATTCTAAGTCCTTTCATGCAAAGAAATTGGATCTAGCTTAAAAACTGAGCTCTTGGGAGCGATTGCCGTGGTTCAATGTTTTGCGTCGAAATCGGACGAACATGACGTCACTCTGACGTCATTTCCGGCCGACCTATGGTAGCTACGAAGTTCAAATTTTGACACAAGGTGTCAAATTGATGCAGCCGAAGGTACTGTAAGTTTGGCGTCGATCCGTCAGGCGGTTTGGAAGTTATTGCAGAAAAACGGGAGGGGGGCTATAAATAGCCCCCCCCAGTGGGGCGCGGGTTAACATAAGGTAAGACGCCCCTTCCCGGGGCGTCTTACCCACCCCGTGGGGTAAGGCGCCCTTTTGCGATACTTTTTAAAGGGACCCTCCCACCTTCAAAAAAGTTAATGAATTGGCATGAAAGTGATGTCGCTCGGTTCAGAAAGAGCAAAAACGAATATCTACCAAATTTCATCGAAAAATATTCACCGGTTTTCAAGATATTAGACTTTTACTTTTGTTTACTTTTTGGGATCTCCGCTGTTCCTAGCGACTTTATTTGAAAGTGCGGCATTTGTTGCGCGCAAAGCAGCTTATACCACCGCGTGCTACAAAACGTTTTAGTCAAACATTTAAAAATCGTTAGATATCTGCGATGACGTCACACATTCAGAGGGGTATTCCTATGCATTAGCCCCTCTGAATCAAAATGCTGCAATTTTGAAATTCAATATTTCCGATTTAAGGCATTTCTCGATGTTGTGAGTGCCGAAACCGGTAATTGTGAGCCAGGGACCCCATTTTGGCTATCTCAACTCAAATCTAATGTTAAGGTGGGAGGGTCCCTTTAACATATGTGTCGCTCGACGCTCACTGCGTAGGTGATAATACCCACACTGTGCACAGTGGGGGCACAGTGTGGGCACAGTGTCAGCACCCGTAGGTGATAATGCCCCCACTGTGCACAGTGGGGGCGGAACATCTTCAATTACGGGGGAAGGGGGAGGGGCACTGCCGACTTTTGGTCCCATTCTTTCCATGCAACGCCCATAAGGCTAATGTTAAAAGGCCAAAATCAAAGGGGGGCCACGCAAGGTGCCCCGGTGCCCTCCCCGTTTCGCCGCCTATGAGTGTGCACAATTTCCGGCTCGCAAAGAAGGAGAAATAGTTGGTCTATTATAATGCACACATATATCAATGGCGGGTAAAATTATGCGGAGAGTGTTTGTATTTTCCCTTAAGGGGGGGGGGGGCGTCTTACCCCACTCTCCACTACTACCTACTGTTGGATGCGCCTCGGCCTCTGTGGCCTGTGCTCATCCATAGCTTTTTATTAACTCAATACCCAAATAGTATAGAAGTTATCGATCAATATGTCAATTAACAGCTAATTTTATTATGGGGCTAGTGCCTGCGGGCAAATATTAAAGGGCTAGGTGAATTTCCTTAAAGGTGGCTGCTACAGGTGACATTTCACTCTTTTAGTGCATTTTCAATAATTTAGTGACGACTGAGACGCTCTGGCTGGCCTCGAAATGAGAACCGCGCGCGTCCGCCAGGTCCGCATTTCGAGGCCGCTGTTATTCACATCCGCATCGATCCCCAGGTGGCGCGGTCAGGGTTAGCTGACTCGGAATACAATGAAAAGTTGCTGGCGATTGAAGTTATGAACATCAGTTTGATATATTTCAGGTAATTAAACAAAAGCTAGCATATGTGTTTGCCTCTTTTCCCTTGAATGCAAAAAGTTTTCCTCAAACTTCCTTTGTTCTCGCCGACCCCACGCTGGCTCCTGAGCGCGCCTCTGCCGCGGGCCGGCTGCGCGGCGGCGGCGGCGTCGCCTTTCTCGTCCGTGAGTGGTGAGCGGGAGCGTGCGTCCACCAACCAGCCGCCGAGCAGCGCCCAGCCGAGCTGTCCATTCAGGAGTGAGGATTTCGGCGGCCACACCAATCGGAGCTGCATTGCCGCCTTCCTGACTGGTAAGCAACTTTTGATAGGCTCATTAGCTCTTTAGCCGATATAATTTCTGGCGTCATTGGCTGCGCCAGGGCCGCGGCGGCGTGGGAGCTTCGACTCGGCGCAAATCAGCTCGGGGAGCCGTTGGAGTATTTGAAATGGACTTGAAGTGTGGGAAATGAAAAAGGGCGAGCTCAAATGAGCTGGGGCTTTGGTACGGTGGTGAATGCGGACCGTGCATGTAGTTTCTCACTGCTGAGGAGCTGCGATTCACAGAGACGAGATTCTTGTGTAAGATTCGGACAAGGTCACAAGTTTATGTAATGCGGTGGCTTGTTATATTAGGTACAGACGTTGAATTATTTGATTGCAAATTGCAATTGATTTTAAGTAACTGTGAATACGATTATGTCATGAGTGTAATGCACGCATCGGTTTTTCCCCATTTTACCTGAGGGTTGGTGACTTAGGGTGTGAGTAGGTATTTTGTGCAGCGCGTGAGGTGCATGCGAAGCACCGGCATTCAGAAGCCGGAAAAAAAGAAAAGCAGCTGACAATGAAACTGACTTGCAGCCGGTCTGGGCATCTCCAAAATTTTCTCAATATAGGATCCAGTGAACAATGTGAATGGTGGCAACAGAAAAAGTATTTTTATATGATAGAGATTGCCTCATGATTTTAATTGCTGGGCTGTCTCCCATTGCTGGCTGACACGACATGGTAGACAATTTATTCCTCTTATAAAAATTATTTAGTTGCAACATGGAGACAGAGCAGTGTCTTTTGGTATGCAGATGTTCGCTAAATAGCCTCGAGCGCTTCTAGCGCTGCCCCACTCCGCCGCCGTTCAAGGTCATTGGCAGTAGCACCGCCTTCAAGGACTGCTATTTTCCGGCTCTTTCCACGGTAAATAGCCCCTGGACTCCCTCATCCCCACATTTCATACCAGGGTGTCTGTGGCGAGGCTGCTCGGCGGCAGCTGCCGTGCGAGCCGGTTACCCACGAGGCACGAGCCGAGTTGTCCGGTCTTTGTTCGCGCTGCAACGGCCCCGGGGAGCGCTCGAATAGGGCTGGATGTGCCGGGGAGAGAGATGGGATGGGACGCTCACATTCAGACAGTGCGTGGTGTGATATGGTGATAACGATGGATTGTCATTTTGAAAGCAACGGCATTGAGCCCGGTTTTCGATGTGGTGTAAACGTGCTCCCGTTGACAAATGCCAATTATATTTTCACGAGAGTGCCTTATTATTTTTGAGCACCAAAAACACCAACAGCGTTCAGTTTATGCTCACGACATTCGCTATCTAGACGTATTGCAGAGCCATAGTCCCGCAACAAACGCCGGTCGCCGTAAATACAGTCCATGCTTCGCGATATAAATACGGGGCTCAAGCACCGACGGCAACCGTCGCTTTCGCAGAAGGACCGTCGCCGTTCGCCGTAAAGCTACCTAGTACCTACCTACCTACGTCCTAACGTCTGCCCTTCAATGGGAGCGATTTCATGAAACATACGACCCAAAAGTTGAAAAGCTCAGACATGTCGCTCTTTTCGAAGGAGTAAAATTTTGTCCGTCCAACTCCAAGACACTTTGTCCGAGTAGTTGCACGAATTCCATGCGTTAGCGGATGCAAGGGCCGTTTGGGGACATTTGCCTCTTCCTCAGCGTCCGCAATTGATGGATTTTTCTCTTTTTTCATGATATGATAAGGAAACCAAAGAATCTTAATTTTTATAAACGGAAATAGTTGTTTTGAACGTCGCAGCCGCTCAAAAGGAAATGAACTCAGGTTTTTGGGGACAGCGACTTGGGATGTTTGTAGATCTTGTTGAGAGGGTACAGAGTGTGTCCCAGAATTGACCGAACACTGTTTGTAAGCGTATCTATAAGATCAGAAAATAAAACAATAACGTTTTTTTATGGTCTGATATAGTGAACTAGAGCAGCTTGGAAATAACACATGTAACACGCTAGTTACAAAATATAACGACAATTGTGGATAAATGCAAGTCCATCCTCGCTTGCGATTCGGTTGTTTTACGGGTCTCCCGAAACTGGTTGTAAGCTGGGCCGGATATCATTGGCCTCTTGCTGAAGGATATTTACAGATGAATTCGATTAAATTTATGTCTTAACTGGTCCGAAGCCACTGGCCATGAGACACTCTCTCTAAAAAAAAAACTATGGCTGCACCACTGTTGCGTTGTTCTTGACATCGGAAGTGGAGAACCTCCCCTGAACATGGCGCGACCTTTAGCTTCTAGCATATTTGGTTTCCGAAACAAGCCCGTTCATGGCCATTGGTTTCACGGCGTTTATAGTTTTGTAGTGATAGAATATTACCACAGTGGTACTCTCTGTCAGCAGTCGTGTTTGGAGTATCACATAAGGTGAATGAGTGCACCTTGGCTCAAAATGTCTCACACTTTGATTTTCGACGGGAGCATGGCCGACTCCGCTGTTGGGGCGTTGTCGCTATCTGACGTCCAGACTCCAGTGTCCACACACGACTGCTTTTGGCGGCTCAAAGGGCTGAATACCTTAATTGGATATTCGTAAGACCACAAAATGTGTCTCTGTTCATTTCTTTTTTGTTGAATATGATATTCTCGCCAACTTGCAGCGATTTGCGCGGCTTTTTCGTTACTACATAAGGGATTATTTTCCATTCCGGAGGCCCAAATTCCAAAATTTTGTCGAAGACCGTGGTAAAAAATAGACTGATGTTTTGATACTAGCCCTAATCCGTCGTTTAGCCTAGCTTGCAGGTAGATCGGGGACGTTTGCTGACCATGTTATGGCAACCACTCGCTTGGCTACTGGTGCAGTGCACGCTCCGTTTTTGCCCTGCCCAGGCTTGTCAACCATGTTATCTCTTGCCCTCTCTGGCTTCGCTCGATGATATAACTGCGCTTTGCTCACGTCTACCTGCTTGCAGATGAGCTCATTGGAATTTTCCAGCAAGAACCATGCCGAAAGTTCGTTTACAAAGTTCAGAACTGGATTTCATTCACCATGATTGCCTTTTGGTGGCTTAGGCTAAAAACGAGAAGGGACTACTCTTCGCTGACTCAGGATAATAATTACTCAAGTCGTGACTGGGGGGGCTAATGTTAAAATGCCAAAATCAAAGGTGGCACGGTACCCCGGTGCCCTCCCCGTTCCGCCGCCTTTGGCTCGATAGGTAAAGGATGTGTTGTAAAATTATGATGCTCCAATCTCATTAGAATCTAGCACAATCGTGCTTTTGGGAATATTACGTGATGGGCGCAAAATGACCATAATAGTAGTCGGCGCGCCCTAAAGCCCCAATTAACAAACAAATCGTGCTTTTGAAATGTTCGGTCATTTCTGGGATACCCTGTATATCCTCTCAAGGGGCGTCCAATACCCACCCCGGGGCGCTCTGGCTCCGCCAGTGAACCCATCCGTCGCGTGTTGGCGAATGGTGAATTCACCCCGGTATTTGCTCTCGTAGGTGATCACATTTAAATTTGTTACATTCGATCGTGCCAACGGGAGCATATTTTTCGGCTCTGCTCACTTGATACGATGACGCCCGTTGTTTTGTGCTAAGTGTCATTTACCGACTTCGTATCGACTGGCCGTTTCAATTTCATGGCCACTTTTGAAGAACTTTGTTTTGGCTGAGAAAACTTTTTTCAGCCTATTCTTCTTAGTCCTGGCCTTGTATTCGGAGAGTGATAGTGATAGGTTGACGTCGTCTAGTTCGATGTGTATGTAATGAGAAGTGGTTAACCCCGCAGCTGAGAACCCGGGCAATGGAAAATTATTCAGAACTTTCAGTGATCAAGAGAACATGACAGGATGCATGAGATGTTATTCTCGGATTTTCGATGCCTGTGACCAAGCTGGACCTAGTGTCACGCCATCTTATTTTTTAACTCACCTGGGATGGAAGAGTTAATTTCGTGTCTAAGTCGATAAAAGTAAATAGCGCATCGTGTGTTCGAAAATCAATGAAATGCTTGCTAGCATGGTAGATAATGCAGCTTGTGATTACTGTACTGGAAGATGGCACTTTTGGCTCCATTTATATCTTTGAGGTTAAGTAGCGTCGTGAAAGATCACCATTCGGCAGTATGTTTTGACAGATGCATGTCATGTCCATCAACATGTCAAAATGGTTTGGGCGGGACCAAGTTTTAACGAAACACGTGCAAGTGCCTTATTTGCGTTTGTTGTCGTCTGAAGGCATCTGGTCAAATTGGATAGTTTGGCGAAAAAACGTAATGATGGCTAGCGAATGCTTTGTCTGCACTCTCAGGTCCAAGGGGGAGACACATGGGGCATTTACCCCTCCCGGATAGCCGTAAATTGACGAAATTTCGCCGTTTTTCTAACACAGCAGCGAAACTAAACAACTGTGGCAAGGAAAAATGTGTTTATAATTGCACAACACTGAACATGATAAACAATAAAGTACTTCAGTACTATAATAAAGTTTTCGGGAAGTTTTTAGACGTTAACCCTCGCCGGCACAGGGGGGGGGGGGGTGATGCAACCCCCCCTAAGGTTTTTCGCAAATAACTCGCGTAAAAAGCGGCCGATCGCGACGAAACTTTCAGTACCCTCGCATTGATCAATTTTACACCTACCCTGAAAATTTCATGACCCTGACCCCAATGACCTTTGACCTGTGACCTCTTTTCCGAGACCATGTTTGGCCGGAATCGCGATTCGGCGTATGTCGGCTCGTATTAGCCGCGCGTTTGTAAGCTTTTCGTGGTTTCAAACGTTCAAACATGTGATTTGATGTTGCTCCCATACATTGGGGTGGGTGTCAAGGTCACCTGAAGGTCAGGTCAGGTCATTGACCTTTGGTGACCTCGGGTGACCTCGGTTCACTTTTTCGAGTTTTACATGTTTCTAGGCTAGTTTTTGGAGCTGAATTCGAATTTAGCAACCATTTGAACATTAACGAAGTAGTTTTGGTGCCTTCGTAACATGTTACGAAGCTGTCAGAGGCGGTTGACACGTATTACGATTACCCGTCACAACCCTTACCGGTTGACCTGACCTGACCTGACCCGACCTGGTCAAAATGCTTAAAGACATCATCACTGATAAAAACTAACACGATATTCGTGATCAGCACCCCGGAAAACCACATAGCAGCCACACTTTACGACTTTCTAACAGGTCCCGATTTTCCCGGTTTTCGGGTCATTGACCTGACCTGGAAGGTCACCCGATGACCTAGGACCTTAAAATTGGGTACCATCGGCTTCCTCTCGTGACGGGCAACACGCTCATTTTTTTCCGCGAAGCTCTAGCTCGATCAGGGGCCAAATGCGAGGGGGGGGGGGGGGTCGTACCCCCCCCCCCTTGTGCCGTCGAAGGATGCAAAATGGCCTGTGCCGGCGAGGGTTAAGAAACCATTTTGTTAAGTTGGATGGTTACAGGATAACAGAGCTAAGTACAGATCCGCAGAGTCAAAACACTTTTGATCCGTCTGTGTTTGTCTGTAATGATACCATAGCTGTTATTTACTTTACGGGCTATAATTGGTAGGTTTGTGGAAAAAAAAACAAACAGTTCGGGAAAGTTGACTACTGGTGATCTCTGATGACCTCTTTGAAATCACCTTGAAAGGGGTGATTTCAATTTACTACTGGTAATTTAGAAACCGAGGCTCTCCCAAAATCCTGACAAAATAGCAAAATCTGAACAAATTTTTTGCTTCGGAAATGGAAAGAAATGCCATTTCTTACCACATTCAGAGCATCTTATGCATAAGTGAACATAGGTAGATCCGGAATGCCGTCTCGAACGCCACAAGAGGGGACACCCCCCCCCCCAAACAGTTTCTCTAACTTCCAGAAACTCCTTTGTTTTTTTCCTAAAGCACTGTTGTGCGACTTAAAGCAAACCTTTTCTCATGAAAGTTGTTTAGTTTGCTTTCTATTTTTAGGAAAAAATGACAAATTTTCGTCGATTTCGGGCGCTGAGAGGAGGCATTTCCCCAATCCCCCCTCCCGATCCGCCAGTGTTAGTGAGATAGGTACGTAAACACAACAAATAGAAAAGAATAGAAAGACATTTGCTCCGAAATACCCAACATCAAGTTGATTATGGTTTCTTATTGGTTAACCAAAGAGAAAAAGATTCGATTGGCTTCTTTTTCTTCGAAATTTAAGTACTATGTTTTGTCTTCGGCCTAGTCAGGCGATAGAGATTTGCAAAACTTAGTGCTACGCACTGGCCGAGGTAATTGATGAATGCTACCCGTCATGCCGATGCCGACGGGTTTCGTTCTCGTTTCGTATAACCCTACCTTTGTCCATTTTCTTTAGGAGCACGGGAGGAACTCCTGAAGCCTTGCCGACCGGGCGGAGAGCCTGCTGAAGTGTTGAAGCTCGTCTGTTCCTCACCGACTGCACCCGCACACACACACACACACACACACACACACACACACACACACACACACACACACACACACACACACACACACCGACCCCCTACCATGGACGGGGACGGCGCGGATTTCATCGGCGACAGCAAGACGTATATGCTGGAGGACTCCGGCGACCCTGGTGAGTGCGCCTGTCCAGTACACTGTGCACTTTGACAACTGTTGGTGAGTGTTGTGTTTGTGCTGTCCATGACGCCATGAGTTAGTGTGTGGTGTCAGCCTGGAGGCTCGACCACTTGTGGTCACAAAGTTCCCCGTTGTTGGCGCGTTCGGGAAACGAATACGCATTTGCACACATGTGCTGTCTGGTATTTAATTGGCCCATTTTCAGAGCACCTTAGGAACAGACTGTTGCAGAATGCTCCAACATTGCGTGACTTGACTGCCTCCGACGATTAAAGAATTTACACAACGGTGTTACAGTTACGTAATATACCGGCTACTGCCTGACCAGTGCCCTGAGTACCCTGGGCCATGGCGCTTCATAGACGCGGCTTTATCTTTGACTGATACCGTTCTGACGCTACATAGGCTGGTTGGATTGCAACATCGTCAAAATATTCCTGTCTCTTTTTTATGTCTCATGATAATGAGCCGAAATTCATATGTTACATGCAGCTGAATGATATATGATGTGGATGGCTGCGTTGCTCGAAGTCATTTGATGTGATGTGACCCGGCGATGTGGCATATGGTAACGTCACGTAACGTCACGTTGTGTGATGTCACACTGTTGACGATTTGTGACGTTATGTGCTTCAGACAGCGGGGACGGAGGCTCCGGTGGTAACAAATCGGGGGAGCCCAGCAACATTCTACGCGAGCAGGACCGGTTTCTACCGATCGCAAACGTGGCGCGCATCATGAAACGCGGCATCCCGCCGAACGGAAAGGTATATGTGGGGGAGATGGTGGGGGTGGTGAGTGTTTTTAAAATTGGTGAGAAAATTGAGAGCCGACTTCTGTAAGAGGGGAAATGTCGTGTATGATGGCAACGTGACTCAGGGCAACGTAATCATCGGATATCGACCACGGATTAAAGGCTGACTTGCACACACCGTTTATCATGCGACATGCGGAGTGCAATATAAGTGTCACTTTGTTGCTGGTCTAGTAAAAAATTCTAGATCTAGAAAATGTTTGATGGAAGTGGCATCATTTACCAAACCATTATTAATTCTTATTTTGCACAACTCTTGAGACACAAATAAAACTGAAAGTATCGATCATTTATTCATCATCGCAATGCAATGCATCTTTTAACTCGTATTTTCTTCTGCCCTTCGTCAGATCGCCAAGGAGTCCCGGGAGTGTATGCAGGAGTGTGTCTCGGAGTTTGTGAGTTTTGTCACGAGCGAGGCCAGCGACCGGTGTCACCAGGAGAAGCGGAAGACCATCAATGGCGAGGACCTGCTGTTCGCTATGTCTGTCCTCGGCTTCGACAACTACGTCGAACCGCTGAAGCTCTTCCTGCAGAAATACAGAGAGGTGGGTGGCGTAATAATTCGGTAGTTTCCTGGGACTTGGGTTATCTGGAACGGGGGCCAAGACATTGAAACGGATGTGCAGCAGCTGGTTGAATCGATTTTGATCTACTGTTCACTTATTCAGTGCTCAGCTCATGTTATCCCTCGTCGCTAAGCTTACATTTCTGGAAACGTTTTCTGCGAATGTGATTTGATTTGACATTGATATGAGTCTCATAAACTGTGCTAAAGAAACTCTTGTTAAGTAGTTGGAAACAGGTATCGATTCTGCTACAAAAGAGCATGTCTTGATAATGAGATTCACCCCGTCTTTGTTTGTTTTCAGTCTATAAAAGGCGACAAGATGCCAGACCAGTTCGATGAAATTGAAGAGCCCCAGTTCGGTAAGTGAATGTCTCCTTGTGTTCCCACATCCGCTCGGTGGCCTCGTATTGGTGTGTTGTTCAGCAATGTACCGTTTTCCTCAGTCGCCCGGCCCGAGCCTGCCCGCTCGCTCACTGAGCCGTCATGCGCCGTTCTTGCTTCGGCTGTCTTCGTCAAGTGACCTCACATAGTTCTATCCTATAGGTGGTAATAAACGCTTTTAAGCATCCATTTATCCACTTTGAATTGATAGAAGGATAGAAGCACGGAAAGGTGAAAGACTTGCACCGTCCTATTCATTTACATCCAGCTTGGTTTCGGAATCTGTGTCAGTCTACGTCGTCCGCAATGCGTCAAGTGTGCAATGTGCATGGCCGTCGCACTTTGCCATTCTGCGTCACCTTGTACTCAAACTACCTGTGTTTGTCTTGACAGGCACCAACACCCTGGAGCCGCTCAGCGAGGGTTCAGCAGGCGGAGCGACAGGCGGGATGATATACACCGCGTACGGAAATCAACAGTTCTAGAGCCGCCGACAGCGCCACCTGTCCACTGCAATCGCAGCTGTGCTTCTGCCAGCCGCCGCCAGGATGTGCTGCTTGCCGGTGCGGCCGGCACAGAGACGAACGGACCGAACTGTGGTGCGCCGCGGTGCGCCGCGTGGTGGGTGCTGTGTCCATTGAGAGGTACCTGGATTGCTTGTTTGTGAGACTCTCGTGAAGGGTGAGTTTGGCTTTAAAAGCCCGAGTCAGAGCCTGGACAGATTGGTGAGTGGACCGGCCAGCGGGCGTCGAGAGCTAAGGACGGCGCAAAGCCGGCAGGACGTTTTTAGCTTAGTGTTTCCGCAAACGCATCGCGTTGTTGATGTGCTAGCATGCCATTGTTACCATCCAGGAGGCGGTTTATTACCAAGTGATATTCGGGCGAAATTTTGAGTTCGCAAAGGCGAGGAACTCGTTTTATGATAAAAGAAACGGTCTTCGGTGCTACTCGTATTTTCTTGCAATGCATACCTATCAAACATTCGTTGAAACCAATTCAGAAAAGCGGAGCCCGTCATGCTTGTACGATTGCGTTCTGGAAGGGGCATGTATCTTCCATAGGACCCTGTTAATACCTCTGGCTCTGTACATATGTGAATCGTTCTTGTTGGTTGTGTGAATTGTATTATTATGTCACATGTGGACACAGGTTTGAGAATGTCGACGAAAACATTTTGGTAAATATTTGACCGTGTTACAACGAGCAAAGGTGTTTCTTGATCGACTTGAATCTGAAGATGCTCTTGGATGTATGATGAAGCTCACGTGCGAATGAAACCGAAGATTGATGTTATAAATACGAAGTAGGCTGGACGCTATGGATTCGCTGAACATAGTTTTGTACAAAGCCTACGATAAATTTACGATAGTTTATACGATAGTAAGTTAAAAGTACGATAAGTTAATACATCGAAAGTCAGAATCAAGCTGGTATTTGGTATGTATCTCTGCCTAGTATGATAAAATACGAGTAGTATGAGTAAAGTTTTTGGAATTTTTTTTTGAAGCAGTCAATAACATCACCGTAGCACATTATATAACTGAAAACTGCGCTCTTGGCAAACTAGTGTGTTCAAGTTCTTGCGTGATCAACTCCTGACAGTGCAATTAAACGGCATATCTGTAATTCAAAGGAACTTGTTTTTTTCTCTAAGTTGCGTCAGCATGACAGAGTATACTTCGGGCTTTTCGTGCGAGAGTAGCTGCTTGTTTTTCGCTTTTTTTTTACTCATCGTGAGAAGTCAGTGGGCAGTGGCCATTGCGTTTTATACAAATTGAGGGACTCCAAGGGCCTGGATGTGTGTCTCTATAAATTTGCTGTAGAAGATAACATGGCCAGACTGTTTTCTTCAGTGGATCAGTGGATCCAGTGGAGCCTGGGGATTCGGCTTTATACCTACGTTCGCCATTAGCTGGCGTTTGAAACGGTTTGTCGCTTCGGTAGTGCTTGCTGTTCATTGCGGCAAAAATAATCATCTTCCTCTACCCCAGTCACGGAAACACGGGCTCATACACTCACAAGTCACTGCACTGGTTGGAGCGCTGTATGTTGTGTGTGATGAAACCGCACATAACGAGCCATATCACAAACACGTTGAGGCTAGATCTCACTAAACCATACCATGCCGGTGGGGAAGTGGAGCTAAACACACCGGCTTTTAGGGCGTGTTCGCTTTCTCCTACTATGGACGTCAAACCCCTTGAGACCCCACTTTTTTGCGATAATTTCTAAATGCGTCAACTCTCGTTGACGATATTCTGGCAATGTGTGTTTCAGAACCTGCCGAAACTTTTATTACTAAGGTATTTTAACGCCAAACAATTATGAAAGGTACTTCTCATTCACTCGTAATGTTAAATTTCACGGAACGAATCTGCTGTTTGGGAAGAGGCTACGCGCTCATGGGGCGGAGCCACGTAATGACGTCAGCGCTAAGCTCCGCCCTACCCCTCCGGCGCTTCTTGCCCGGTGACCGGTCACTCGCGTCTCGCGCTCCATCCAGGCTTGATGGTGGGCGGTAGCTGGTAGCGGTAGCGGGCGCTGGTAGATGACATTAAGAGCAGATGGCGCTGGTGGCGGGGCTCGAGTAAGGCCGAACGCAAGCCTCTGCCCGGGCCTGAATTGACCTCAGCATTACGAGTGAATGAGAAGTACCTTTCATAATCGTTTGGCGTCAAAATACCTTGGTAATAAAAGTTTCGGCAGGTTCTGAAACACACATTGCCAGAATATCGTCAACGAGAGTTCACGCATTTAAAAATTATCGCAAAAAAGTGGGGTCTCAAGGGGTTTGACGTCCATAGTAGGGTGAAGAAAATTCTGCGTCGTCCGGCTAATCCCGTTCGATACCGGCAGCCAAGCCTCCGCCGACCTCGAACGGCATTGCCCGGACGACTTAATCATTTTTGTCGTACGGGAGAGACCGAACTCGAGGTTAAACGCGGTGGGGTGTTAACGCCGTTTTACGATTTCACTTAATCATGGTATATGGTATTTCACGAATGTATGGAAAACATGCTGGCAAACGGCGCTGCGGCACACCGTTTCATCATCTCTGCACGCATTAAAATTTTAGCCATATGGTTACAGTGCTTAGGATAACATGAGGTCGCACGAAGTGCCATTCCCCAGGAAATAATGTATTGTAAATAGGTAGAAATGCGTAAATATGTATTAATATGAGGTAAATAATTGCATAGGGTAGTGGGGGGTAATTTGAACATATTTTTACGTCTTCTCCGTTGTACCAAATTCCAGTTCAACCCTGGATGAAGAAAAACTGCTTCAGTAGCGCAAGTGTCACTTGCTTTCACCATGCAAGCCTCATTTTAGGACGAGCCGAGCATACCTTGAAAAGCATAGCCTCACTTCTCCACCAAGTCACGGTGTGTTCAAATTGCCCCACCGTGGGGTAATTTGAACATACTGCCTTTACCTGTCATAAAAACGATAGTCTCGCCAGCACCGATGTTGTTTGACCATAAACAAATAGGCAGAACAATTCTAAACATACCTTCACTTGAAAATCAACACAACAGCAAAAATAACAGTTGCAGAGTATCAATATCTGCACGCTGCACACCGGTCAGTTGGCAGAATTCGACCCTTTTCAATTAACAGAACGTCTATCATTTTTGTTCGATAAAAACTCTCCCAACCGTACTACATCTGTTAAAGTGGTACCAATCGAAACCTGGACATTTGGAGTTCTGATTTTGTCCAATGTCCAATTCGGGATTGGTTGGACAAAGGTAGCAGACTGGACAACATTGGACGATGGCTTGCTACACTTCAGCGCTTTTTATAAAGTAATCGTGCATAGCATTGATTGGCGAATGGAAAGCTTGTTAAGCTCTCAATATAATGAACACTTTTCGGCTGGTAAAATTACATAATAAGCAATATAAATGACGGTTTTGAGTGTTGATAGCGGCATAATTTTCGGACATATTTGGACAAATAGTTTACTTTAACATTTTTGGACGGAAATCAACAAAAATGCCGGACATTAGACGGATATTAGACGTAAATTTTCTAAAACTGGCATCACTTATCTGCTACTGCCTTGGGTCGAAAATATTGACAAAAAAAAACTGGGAGCGTTGTTTTTTCGGATCTATCCCTGTCTTCATTGAAATTCTCACACTATGTTCAAATTACCCCACGCTAAAAGTTATTTTGCCATTTTAAAAACAGGGTTCAAAAGCAAACTTCTTGGATTGAAGGCACTGATTAGGTCATTATACAACAAAAGCCGTTGCGTATTAGGCGCTAGCAATGCAAGATTTTGCGCTGCAATGAAGTTGCAATGACGTGTTGATAGGCGTTTTTCCTTGCGAAATTGATTTCTTACACTGTGCGTCAACATCTTCATTCCCTGAAACTTTAAACCCCGTTCATATGATAGCCCTTCTAGTTACGATAATTTCGCTCATTGATCTTATTGTCATGCCACTTATGGATTTTCCGTAATTTTCTGTTATTCACACTATGTTCAAATTGCCCCACATGTTCAAATTACCCCACCCTACCCTATTTCTAAACGTTCGTCGTAGCTAAACCAAACAAACGACTTTTTAAAGATTTCAGCGATAATGATGTTTTTTGTCCAAGCTTTTTTCGTGCTCTTTTTGTCCTTGTGTGACCCGAGGCACAAAACAATATGTGAGCTGATTCGCGTGGGCTTGTCCCTAAGATAATTTTAATTTGTTGAGTTATCGCGCTTAAATGTCTGTGCATTTCTCCCCATTAGAACTATCGACTGCACTGTCAGTAATGGTGTGAAGGCTAAGGGTACGCACTACGCACCGCACGCAATAGATGCGGAATATAAAACCCATATACTGTTGGTACTTCCTATAAGATGCAATCCGACGTTAAAAGATGGCTTAACAGACAATTACGTGACGACTGACGAATATTACACACCAAATCAGATCATTATAAACGGTAGAAACATACACCACAGCACAGGTAACACTGGCCTTCCGACCCACGCAGTTAACTCGACCTCCGCTATAGTTCCACGTGGCGGGCAGGTAAAAACCGGACCGAATGCCCGCCCGGTGCCGCCGCGGCGATTCAATCGCGCCCGGCTGATTGACACACCTGTCGGACTGGAATGGCATCGCGTGGCGCCCAGGCCCGGAACGGGAGACGGACCGGCGGAATTCATCACCCGATCTGTACCGCCGGGCCGGGGCGATGTATGCAGCTGGTTATACGGCTCAATCACGTCACCAGAGTCACAGTGTGGTGGCGATTTTTGTCACGTCAGGTCAGTGCTCTTCTATCTGCGAGTGGTGGCTGTTAGCTTCGAAACGGGATACTGCACACATAATCTGACTGACTGATGTATAAACGCCAATTGAATTGAACTGTGGGCTGTGGTCCCTTGAATTAATAAAAGACCACAATCTAAGACGCAGCCTATCTCTATAGTCCAACAGCCTGACCCATTAATTTGACGGATGTCGCCCCACTAGCCGTCTCTGGTTCGCACTCTCAGACGCGCACGGCACGACAACGTTGACTCGTCCGTGACATCTCGATAACAACACGGCCCGTGAGAAGTGCTGATACCTCCGGGGTCAGGTCGACACGTCAATCACTTTGGCACGTCGCCATCTGTGGCAGCGTCGTTTGCGCTCCAACAAGGAGCACCCCGGCGGCTGAGAGGATGAGAGGAAGCTGGGAGCCTGGGGTGGTAGAAGATGACAGCCGTTTGGTCAGGAGGCGAGTGACGGGGATTCCAGGCGATTTTAGGAATGAAACTGACCTCCTCTGCTTGACCTCGTATCGGTTAGAATCCCATGGTAGCACCAGCTCGACGTCCGTGGTCATAGCCCAAGTAGCCTCGCAACAATCGAACACCGTGGGTGTTCTGCTCGGCTAAAGAGGCACACCACCCTTCTGTCATTCCATACACGCCGCTAAAGAGCAAAAAATACAGCAGTAAAAAGTCGTGACGGTATAATGAAAATATTTGAACACCTGTCCATCGGACGCTGCTGTGTGTTACGTGCGGTGGATGGGCACAGCGGGCTACCAGCCCTTTGATCGGGGCCGGGACGGGAGCCTGACGAGCCGCCGGTTAGCAGCCCTATCAGATGGCTGTACTCAGGACAGACAGCTACTGTCACACCACGGAGCCATTGATTGGGAGATTATTTTAATGGCAATTTAATTAGGACGGCATCGTTTTTAAAACCAAAACCAAGTCGTTTTTTTACATTCAAGCTGTCGTCAATGCTTGCATGTGTCAGTTAAGCTGTGAGATCACGAACACTTGGTTGGTGCCTAATTGATGTGAATATTTAAGAATGCACCTAAAAGAAGTAAAAAACAAGACTAGGTATTTGAAGCTCCGGATAGTCGATGGACACTGTGGGGGGGGGGAGGGGGTTCCTCGGGCCCCAGCGGGGC